GTTGGCATGGCCGTCATGGATAGCCTTTCGGTCAAATTGCCAAGGGCGACCAAGTAACAAGTGACAAGCATCCATAGGAATAACATCACACCATACTTCATCTTGGTACCTGTTACCAATAGAAAAAGAGACAAGGCAACATTTGGTTACTTTTACCTCGTTTCCCTTTCGTAGCCATTGTAACTTGTATGGATGGGGATGATCTTTGACAAGCAAACCTAGCTTCTCAACCATATAATTTGACACAACATTCTCACAACTTCCACTGCCAATGATCACATTGCAGACTTTCCCTTGAGAAGTGCATCTGGTGTGAAAGATGTTATGTCGAAGCCAATCTTCATCCTTGGTTATGGTAGCATGTAGACTACGACGCACAACCAAAGATTCTCCATGGTCAGCTGTGATGAGTTCTTCCTCAAGCTGGGGTGACTCAATTTCATCATTTTGCTCTTTTTCTGCTTCATCTTCTGAGGCTTCCTGAATTTCTCCTCCGATAATGGTGACAACTCTCCTATTTGGACAGTCAGAGGCTATGTGGCCAAATCCTTGACACTTGAAACACTTTCAAGTGTTAGATTGAGCTGACTTCCTTCTCAGTCTTGGCAGGGGTCTTAGCAGCAGTTTTTGAGGCTTGAGTCCCTCTGCTAGCTCCAAAATCCCGCAGTTTTGAAGCACTAGTGATATTCTTCTTTGAGATTTGCTTTTCAACCCTCAATGATAGCTGAATTACATCATCCAAAGTCCAATATTGTTGAAGTTGAACAACTTTGGAAATGTCATAGTCCAACCCTCCAAGATATCGAGCTATGGTTTGCTCATCCTTTTCCCGAACATCACACTTCATCATTAATTGTTCGAACTCCATAGTATATTCTTCCATAGTCAAAGATTTTTGCTGCAAGTTATGAAATTTAACAAAATTATCTTGGTAGTAACGGTCAGGTAAAAACTTACGAGTGAGTTCTCGACACATTTTCTCCCAAGTTCTAATTTTGTTGCGGCCTTCTCTTTCTCGACTGCGTTTGAGATTCTCCCACCAAATGGATGCATGTTTCTTTAATTTGATGGCGACGAGCTTCACACACTTATCGTCAGGAACATCCTTGAGTTCAAACACACGTTCCACAGTGTGCAACCAGTCAATAAATTCATTTGGTTGAAGACGACCTTCAAAATCTGGAATATCAATTTTGATGCCAAGGTCAGTGGATTTGGCAGCAACATTTTGTTGGGAACGTCATCGACGATGAACTCTTTCTGTTGATGATGAGCTTTCATTATCCCTTAGGTGATGGAAGGGATTCTCGTCATCAGTATCTTCCTCTGACTCATGTGGTTCATCTTGCGGGTGTTAAGCTTGTTGTCCCTCAAAAGCTTTAAGTCTTTCTTGAAGCCTTTGAATTTGTTGACGTAGTTCTTCCATTTTTATGTCCCGAACAGCTCGTTGACGAGGAGGATTTTGTCTTCTAGGAGGCATGATGAGTTTAGGTTGGTAAGGGGCTTTTTGGAAAGTTAGTATTTGAAAGTGGGGGTAATTTGAAATTTATAAAATTATGGGGTCAA